CTCTTGCCAAAAACTTGATTTCTCCGTCAGATATTAGCAGACCAAAACAACTAAAGTGTCGTTGGATAGTCCCATTAATGGACTATCATGTGACATCTAAATGATATGATTCCGAAGTTTAGGAAATAAATTATTGTAATAATTATTAAGCTTTCATATTTGATATGAAAGCTTATTGTTTTTGTTAAGATTATTATTATTATTTTTTTTTTTTGTGTACTTTCTGCAAATCGGATTTCTCAGAATCTAACCATAGGATCTTTCTGAAACTTTGACCTACCCCCCCCCCCCCCCCAAAATTGGGTGGCAGCTTTTGCTTAAATATATTTTCAAAACGTTTTACGAATCCGAAATCACCGAATTATCATTTATTTTTTTGATATTTTCCTGCCCCTTTTTAGTTCTTTCCCGCCCTTTTCGGTTCATGTTCTCATCCGTCCCATTTTTAAACGGCTTGATCCATTTTTCTGAAACTTCTGGAACGGAAATTCATTCCGATTACAGCAATCCAACTGTCAGTTATTTCCCTTTAGTTTTCAGATTATTTTGTTGCCCGGGTGCAATGTTTCTCACTATATTTAGACTTGTAACTTCGAGACTTTTTCACCAATTTTGATAATTATTTTTTGTTGTTCTTTTTTCTTTTAAGATACTTGATATAATCCATGTCACGTGACGATGAATATGAAAGCTTTCATATCTGCATGGGACAGTAGCAGATCTAGTTATTATTATTATTATTACAGCATATTTATAGTGCACCCTTTCATATAACATGTTCAGAGGCACTTTACAAAGTGACAATGTAATCATAAATAAACAACAAGATTATGGACATGTTAACGATTGTATACAGAGTCAGTTAAAAGCCTGATTAAATAAATGTGTTTTAAGTTGTTTTTTAAAAGAATATAGAGATGTACAACATCTTAAACTAAATGGTAGATTATTCCATAAAACAGGTGCTTGATAACTAAAAGAGCGCTGACCATATAAGAGACTAGTTGGACAGTTTTGGGCTTTAAAAGTAGTTTATCTGATGTACGTAATGTTCGGCCAGGTGTATAAATTCCTAAAAGATCTGAGAGGTAAACAGGAGCTAAATTATTTAAACATTTAAAAGTAAGTAATAAAATCTTAAAATCAATTTGATATTTAACTGGTAACCAGTGTAAATTATATAAAACAGGAATTATGTGGTCACATTTCTTAGTATTTTCCGTTTTGGAGCCTGTTTAGACGCCTTTTTCTCGAAAACGACACGTACGATTTTTGTTAAACTGTCCTTACTAATAGTCCTATCGGTAGTCGTAAGGTGTGAATCCAAAAATAAACAATGATCCAAAAACCGGAAGTAGTCGAAAAAATATCCGATATTTTGGAAAAAAAACGTAAAAAGTAAAAAAAATGGTGCTGTTGCAAAAAAGTGATTACTACACCAGATTTCACCGAATCAAAATAACGAAAGTGTCATTGGATAGCCCGAATAATAGACGATATTATGACATCCAAATGGTACAAACTCAATGGTTAGGCAATAGACTATGGGACGCTGAAAATCTTGTATTTTCCTATTTGGAGCCTATTCAAACGCTTTTATCTCGAAAACTACTCTTATTTCTTTTCTTAATCTCCTGTTACTCAGAGTCCAATCGGTGGTCAAGGGTGTGAATCCAAATTTAAAAGCTTCAATATGATATAAAGGGTCAAAAAGGGACTCAATCTTTGAAAAAAAAGTCGAAAAATCGTTAAATTACTGGAAATGCTCTTCTTATTTCTCTTTTTTTAAACTACTCAATGGATGTTTCTGAAACTTTTGGAACAGGAAGTTAAATGTCAATGCCACGTGTTAAAATTATCCCGTCAATGATCTGTAAACCGGAAGTTGTCGAAAAAATATCCAATATTTTGAATAAAAATGGCAAAAAATGAAGCTTTTTTCGAAAAACGCGATTTTCTGCGGTGGATATTACCGGATCGAAACAGCTAAAGTATCGTTTGATAGCCCAGTGAATGGACTCTCGTATGATTCTGTCGGGTCTATTGTCAGAAAGCCGATTCAGCACTACCATGCAGGTCTAGTTATTATTATTATTATCTCGTCAAATTTGGTGCAAAGCATTAGGACTGCGAGAGGATAAACCTTATTGCTTTTCAAATGAACACTGTTCATTTTCAGCAATCTAGTACTTTCTGTTCCAGAGATATAATATATATGTTCGGAAAAGCTCATGAACCTGATAGGGAAGAGATTTCTTGAAGGATCCTAGATCATTATAATATTTGGTCAACATCCAAGTTTTTCTTTCATATAACTGCAGTTGAGACATAGCTGCTGAGTGGGCATATTACCACGTTTTGCATGAAAGTTACAACAATTAGAACTCTGAAAATGATATCTGATGATGATAATGTGCATGATAAATACATCAATTATAATTCTAACAATCATCAGGGTGAAAATAATGATCATTGTGATAATGAAATTATTCCAAAAATGTTTTTTATTCCAAAAAAGATTCACTCGACGTCCTACTTTTCCAATTTCAACCATTTTTTGCAGTAATTTAATTTTATTGCATTAGGACTCAGAGAAGATAAACCCTATTGCCTTTCAAATGAACACTGTTCATTTTCAGCAATCTAGTACTTTCTAGATCATTATATTTGGTCAACATCCAAGTTTTTCTTTCATATAACTGCAGTTGAGACATAGCTGCTGAGTGGGCATATTACCACGTTTTGCATGAAAGTTACAACAATTAGAACTATGAAAGTGTTATCTGATAATGATAATGTGCATGATGAATGCATCAATTATAATTCTGACAATCAGGGTGAAAATAATGATCAATGTCATAATGAAATTATTACAAAAATGTTTTTTTATTCCAAAAAAGATTCACTCGACGTTCTACTTTTGCAATATCAACCATTTTTTGCAGAAGTTTAATTTTATTGCAAAAATGGTTACCAGTACTATTGCAAAAATGATTTCCAAACTAACAGCACTGAATTTCATCTTTTTGAACGTTTTGATAATTTTTTGAAATTCCATACATAACAATGCTAGTTTCTGTCCATAACACTGCCAAATAACCTATTAATTTATTCCTTAATTTTTTTATACGCCCACATTTTCATGGGATATACAATAATTAATAGAATATAATACCAAAAATTATTGTATAACAAATGCATCATTTTGACTTAGTCATAATTGATCCGATCAAACTATCTGTAACTACTTTGTATTATCTTTGTCTATTAATTGGAAGATTCTCACATGTTAATATGGATGTATTATGCAGTCGTCCTGTGTTTCCAGACATCTGTTTATATTTGTTTGTTTAAACTCTTAGAGTTCACATTTGTTATCCAATTTTGATGAAACTTTTGTACCGTTACTTCCTGGACCATGGACCCTTATATATGAAAATCGCATACATAGCTTGTGGACCCTCTAGAGGTCACAATTTTTATTGCATTTTAAATACTGTTCAGATATATGTTAATCAGGCAACAATTGCAGACAAGTTCAATTTTCATAACTTCCTATTAAAATGGCCCCCTCCCCTTTATGGTAATAGTGGCAGTGCACATAATACATATACCAAGGTTGTGGGTGCTCTTTTCCGAAAACCTTACAAATATAGTAGAGGCTATATTTTTTGACAATATTTTTTTTCAAATTTGGTTTGAAGCATTGGGGTCAGGGGAGGATAAACTCTATCGATCATCAGCCCTGCTCAACATTTCGTTCTAGAATTATACCTTTCTGAATGCGATAGAGCCTACAGGTTTTAACAGATTTACTGCAAAGTTGGTGTGTACATTTGGGGTCATGAGAGGATGAAAACCTATCGATATCTAGTGATCTGTGACATTCCGTTCTGAAGTTAATCCTGCTTTTGCGAAAACGTTGTGAACTCGATAGAGGCTACAGTTTTTAACAGATTTTTTTCTTATTTGAAAACCTTGTGAACTCGATAGAGGCTACAGTTTTTAACAGATTTTTTTCTTAATTGAAAACCTTGTGAACTCGATAGAGGCTACAGTTTTTAACAGATTTTTTTCTTATTTGAAAATAGGGTGAGACCTATTGATTTTCCCTGTTCTTCATTCAACTATTGTTAATAGTTTTATTTTCAAATTCAGTGTGAGCATATCTTGCCTGGCAATCACTTGTTAAATCAAACATGGTAAACTTTAAGCTCAAGATAATATTATGGACAAAATAATACAATTTTTTTTTATCAAAAACGGACAATATCTGAGCAAGCTGCAATAGTTTTGGTTGTAAATGCTGTAATGTGATAGATAAATGTGAGTGTCTTGTTTTAAATTTCAGCAATATTACCAATCTGATTAAAACACAGATCCTTATTTCGTTTCGTTTTTTATAGTTCAAAATTTCATTTTACTTGTATTTACTACACTAGGATCTTGGCTTTCTCTGTGCGGAACTTTGGGTAAACCCCTTACGTCATAGGGTCAAAAGCTGCTCGTTTGACCCCTGACATGAACTCCCACTATAACTTGTCAGATCTTCATATAGTGAAGGCCATTGAAAGTATAAAAAAACAAAACGAAATAATAGATCTGTATTTTAATCAGATTGCAATATTACATATAATCCGAATTTCGCCCGTAACTTCCCACAAATTGACTTTTGAAAGTTGTCATACAAAAATTTGCTTAAATGGGTAAAGAAATATAATTTGATTATCCATAGATGCTTGTGTTGGTCTTATTGGTAATTTCAAACTTTAATTTTGACCAAGTTTGTTGACTTGGTTTTTGATATGGCCCTAGTTTATCCTTTTACTTACTTAAATTATTTTTCCAAAGCAGTGATGCAACAATTTATAAAGACAGTATATTCCTAAAACAAATATGAAGAATATCAGTAGTTTGATTAAAGAATTTAGTCAATATGGTGTTGAATATTCCATTAAAGATATCAAAAGAAGATTTTTTTTATAATGTTTATATTTCAGTCACCATGCTTCCATTAAACCTCGTCAACAACCAATACCAGATAATGATAGTGATGATGGTTGTAAGTTATCATACTAAGACAGCTTTCCAAAGTACAAGAGACCTCATCTGCACTTTCCATTTCTCAAAGCCATTTCATTTAGAAATATATTGTTGTGACACACGTCTTTGACCCCTGTCTGTCTATTACAGTTCCTTTTTTGAGGTGTATTCTTCAGCTAGTTGTAATAAGGAACCCTATCAAAATTCAGAGCCATACATCAATTTTATGCATGACTATTCTGTCACCAAAACTTTGTAAATGATGTGTATAGGTTATCTTTTTGAGATTTTTCATTCAAATTAGCTGGGTCTGATTTGCTAATCTCCTGTCAAAAGGCAAAACCTAGTAACTCACTCTTTTATCAAAATTGAGTTAGGACCAAATTTGTAGTTACTAGGGTATGTTGTTGTACTAGATAGTCCAATCTTTCGATTTTGTAAGCAGTTACACCCATGACACAACCTAGCAACTTCCTTCATTTGCCTAGTATACCACAGCAAAACCTAGTAACTCAATAGTCAAATCAATGGATGAGCTGGGGTTTAATATTCATTCATTACGTTTTCCTTTGTTTTCTCAAAATAAGAAAAAAGTGAGTTACTAGGTTTTTTGCCTGTTGAATCTTATTCTATGCTATTGACCATGTCCCAAATAAATTGTATATGCTCTACAGATCAGACTTTTGAAATTGTCCATTATAATTAAATGGGATTGTTGAGCTACTTTATGCATTTATTATGCAGGGTATTGCCCCTGTCAATGCAACCGAAATATTATAGTCATGCCGCTTAACCTGTTGTAGATGCAGTTGCCACATTTCCAGATGCCAAGGCCGTTGCCTTGGCTTTCCATTTTGGATAGGCACCACTTCCTCTACACATATTATGGATGCCATCTTGATTCTTTAAGTATTCCGCTATCTAGTTATTTACCAATATCTCAGCTTATGAACTATTTAGGATTGCAATCTTAACTGATTAGTTTATAGTATTCCGCCACGTGGTTGTCATTGACATTCAATGTGATGGTCAATCCATATATGAGTCTCAGGTACCCCAAAACATTATTGCCCAAATCAAATTTTAATTGCCACTTTCGTTTTTGTTATGGCAAACTGCAACTTTGGCGACCGACAGCGCGAGCCCTGGCACAGTGATAATACACACCATGCGGGGGTGTCTGGGCAAATCAGCAAACGAGTTGCGTTGACTTGACATCAACAAGCCCAGTTTGTCTATGTATTGTACTAATTTGAAAACTCATTTTTATTAGTTGAAAATGAGGTCTTTGGAAATAATATGGTCATATTTATAACAAGGTCAAGTATTATGTAAGGGGATATGCTGCTCGTCCTGCAAAAAAAGAAAGATTTATGAATACGGCACTCTTACAGAATGTCCAAATAAAGGTGTTTTAAAATGCTCTTTTGATCTTTTGGGGTGATAGATAGTATTTTTATAGATTCATTTTTGTGGAAATCTCAATTTCGATCAAAATCAGTATTTTCACTTGTTTTGTCTGTAGCTCATTATAAGACTTTTCGCATTCTGACTCATTTTGCCAGCATGGGTCACATTTAATACAGCAGAATGTAGTCTACAAAATTATCACAAGTTTACTGTTGTGATATCAAGTTATGAAAAGGGCAAGATTTCACTGTGTAATCGATTTCACATGGTCCCTATAAGGCACCATTAGTTCAGAATAGGTTATGGTACCAAATATGTTTTAACAGTGCCATCTGTATAACTGTAATAATACACTACAAGATGCATAGTGTGTAGAACTGGTGTCAGAGCTTTTAATAACGGGCTTCTGCGTTAGAATATCCATCAAGCCAGTAGAAAAGCATAATTGTGGTTACTATTCATGGAAACTCGTGAGAAACATACGTGTTGTCAGTAGTCACTTAAACCCGTCAGTACTTGCACCGTACGTCAGTATTGCTATAAATGGTCATTAATAATCATAAGGTGAGTATTTAAGTCACTTGATTAGTATTCCTTACTTGTGTCAGTATACAAAAATAACGTGACTAATTAAACAAACGTGAGTTTATCTGAATATATCACTAGTCAGACACGTGCGGGAGAAATTGGAAAAAGCGTGACTAATTAAGAAACCATCAGTATTTAGGCTACCTCTCAGTACCTGAGTGAAACCACCAGTTATCTTTGATGTGTGTCAGTAAGTGGAACCGTCGCCAGTAGAGCGTGAAATCGTTAACTATATAAATTTCTGGTGAGTATTGGTACTTTAATGATTATAAGCATCCTGAATAAATTAATTATTATTTATTAATATTCTCGAATTGGAGCAAATTTTTTAAACAATAATGGATGGCAGTGAACAAAGGGACTATTGTCGACGATTTCGATTACCACCGTAGTTTGCAAAAGACACCGAAGATGGTTAGATAGATCGATCTATTATAAATACCTTCATATTTAAATATAAATTTAAATGCTCAGTGGCAAGGATTGATTCGTCGCACTATTTGTACCCGTTCCCGTTCTTGCAACGGGTTCCCCATGCATAATGCGGCGCAGTGTATAATTGTTATTTAATTTATAATTTATATTTATTCTCGTTACATGCAGATTTGGCACATGTTTTGGGGCAGGCGGCACTTTGATATCTGTATGGATTATTAAATTTGGAATGACAACTAATGGTTAAAAAAAGATCATCAACACCAATCTGTTTTCGCTAATTTTATTGAAACAGATAATATGATAGCAGATAATATTGAATTTCATACACATGCATATATACAAGCTGAAATTCTGAGCACTGAAGAATCGTGTGAATATCTATTTACTTGAGAAATAATAACTATTAAATAATATATATAACCATGCAAATACATGTAGTAATAACATATAATAAGGCACGATATACAATGTTAAAATACAATATGATCGTACGTTACAGAAAAAAATTAATTTCATACATACAAGTAAACCGAAATTATGAGCACGGAAGAGTCTATTAATACTTTAGAAATTGTTTTTTATGTAGCACACTATAAATATATCTTCAACAAATAGAGCATTTTTATGTCTTAAAATTTACCAGTTACATATCCAAAATTTTTGTTTGAGTTCTTCTTCAGTAGTGACACCGATAACAAATTTTCTTTTAATGATACAGTTTATCAATAAACTTACCAGAAATTTATATAGTTAATGATTTTACGCTCTCATCCCAATCAACATTCTTAATCTCTTGAGCACTATAACACAAAGGTGCTAATTAAGTGGTGAGATTAACAGAATTTATTCCAATAAAAGATTTAATATACAAGACCTACATTACTAATGTATGGATTCTCTTTGGTTCTAAATTATAACACCAAGAGAAATATTAAACAAAAATTAACAAATATATGGTGTGGTTGCTATGTGATTTAGTGTTAGAACATAACGATATCTTTAACTTGCTTTTTCTCTAAACTATCTTTTCTGACTTGTGCGACCTCAAACAGATATAGCTTGGTTAATTTTACAGTTTAATATCAGTTATCTTTTTGAATAAAGCAACTGAACTGCAGTCGCCTTGACACCAAAAGTTGTCCAATATGAACTCGGAATTAGCTCAAGCACGCTTGTAATGTATAAAAGGAATTGCTCCTTTGATCGAAATTGCCGACTCCGTGCTCTACACAGACTATTCATGAAACGGTAAGACGCGAAGTCTGAAATAGTCGGGTTGACGTTTGAATTATATGGGTTGTTTTTTTTTTTATTTATTCGGGTTTGTACATTTGACAGAATTTATTAGCTGAACGGTACAGAGGTGTAACTTGGTCATTTCTACATAAATTATATCATTATATTCTAAAAAAGACAACCAGGCTTGTTAGCGAGTTGTTCGGATCTTACTAGTCATTCTCACAAAATTAACGATAAGGTATATGTGACCCCCCCCTCCCCCCATAGCATACTGAGTCGCGATGAGGAAATTTTGAAAATTGAATTATTGTTATTTTCACTCATTACCTTCAATTTGATGTATAGTTTGTTTGAATTGGGCAAAAATTGACTGGAAACTACCCAACTCACAAAAGTATGTTTTGAGAAAAAGTAAGTCAAAGGTTTGGTATGTTCCAAAACAAAATCCAATACCAACCAGGCCATTTATTTGCTCTTTTGTCGCTGAATATATCTTTCCATGGGTTTTCAGGGGTGCTGAAGACGAAAATCGTAGTAAAAATTTGATCCGACGATTTCCGCAATTTATTTGCTATTTTGTCGTTTAATGTTTTTTATTTAGGATTTCAAGGGTGCTGACGACGAAAATCGTAGTAAATGCACTCCTTTCGTTACGAAACATCCACAACACATACAGCATAATATTCACATGATAGTGTTATACTGAAGAACAATCAGTTAATCTCATCAATTAATTAGCACCTTAGTGCCAGCTAGTGGTCAGGAGATTAAGATTGTTGATTGGATAATCATCAAAAAAGCTGCCACAGCTGTACACATGTTCATTTAACACGTGAATTAAAATAAGATTTTGCGTGTACGATAGGTCTATTATTATTTTCAGGTACCGTGACGTTATCAAAATATGAGTCCCTATAGAAATATCAATTTCATATTCAAGAAATGCTTACGTTCACTTTCGTGCATTTTGGCTTTGATGTAAATATCAACATTATTCAGAGGATACTCAGTGGCAGACTTGAGAATCTTCACATTTCGGTTCGTTGTTCGTTCGCATTTTTTCACCCATGGTGATAAGAGAATTTTAAACACTAATATCCTAGATGCATTCGATCCATACTTTGCATGCCATATGAAGAAGCGACAGTAAACGGAATTCAGCTATCAATAAAATTCTCTTCGAAAAGAAAATTGTTGGCCATTTTGTTTATTTTTTTAAAGATGATATGAGATATCAAATAATCACCACTTGGATTAATTATTCGGAGTAAATAATGAGTTGTCGACGGCTTTATTATTGACCCGTGACAGTTGATTAGTATTACTCAATGACACACTCAATAG